CGCGGCTGGGCCTATTAACCGTGGGCTTAATAACCGGCGACTACTGTATTGGACATAAACTTGCAGCTGGAAAGATACCCGCTGGTCGCACGATTTCCAAATAATTTAAAATGAGCCTCGACAAGTAGCGTAATTGTTCCCGTTTATACTGCAAACTACCAGAAACAAAAATTCGCTGAAATCACAATACAGTAACAGTCTATTATAGATAACACCACGAAAACCAGAAGCCCCAGAATCCTGTAATACGGGGCCAGCGGTAAAGGGGTTTATATGGATGAGTGACTACGGGGACGCAGGAGAGAAAATAAAGCAAATATAGCAAACAAAAACAGGGACTAATAGATAAAATGCTACCATATATAGCAATGAAAAAGCGCGCGATAATTTAAAAGCATTTACTTGATAGATTAAGTCAATTATATTAAATTACCGTTAACACCGGTCCCCTATTACGGAATTTTGGGTTTTTTCGTATCCATGATGTTATCTATAGTAGAGGTTTACCCCAACGCGATACAATCCTGCTTCATCACAAACACAATAACACAAGTGACATTTTGGCAATGGAATAAGTAAAAGGTTGCAAGTTGTTAACATAGGTCATTCGAGAAAAAGTGGCATAATAAAACCAATGGTATTGAAGCCTATACATAAATAACCCGAAAAGTTCCGTATTTGTCAGCTCGCCTGAAGCCAAGACTGCCCCAAGCCCACGATTTTGTGGAAATCTACTGTGTTTACTTCTGGAAATAGGGGACCCACTAAACAGGTAGAGTAGATGGATGACAGTCGGGTTGGCGAAAAAGAACCTCCTTGCAAGCAATTTGCTATTGGGTACGAGGATAGGACAAAAATTAAGGTATCAGGTGCCATTAAATTTGTGTTCGTTTTTGGGTGGGAACGGTTAAATGGCCCCCAAATTACTTACCTCGCCTGTTATCTGTCGCAGTTCGTACAGACCGCACAGGTAGCCAGCTCGCCCGATGAAAAGTTCGTCCGAACCCTGGGGGAAGATAATCTCCTGTGTAAAGTACGGAGAGAGTTCGGCGTACTTGGAAATGTACCTGTTGCGTTCAGCCAATGAACCCAGATACTGCAATTTGGGAAGGGGAGAAAGCATGATAAAGTACCATAGAGCAAAAGTCGGCAACGATAGGTCTTGTAGGCTCCTGGGTTTAAAAAAACATAGTCTGGGCTGATTTCATTATTTCGAAGCTGTGGGAAGTAAACCTACGTGTGTTAACTACTTCTGTCATACAAAAAATGCAAAAAGTTGTTTGGTTGTGGTTTTTT